CTCTCGGCCGCCCTCTTCCCCCCGGGCCCGATGCTTCACCCGCCCTCCCCTGTGCCTGCCCCCGCGCTTCGCTGGGCCCCGCTGTGGCTCCTTTTTGTTTGTTCGGTTTGGGGTTTGTTTGGGGGGTTTTCGTATTAGGTGGATATTTTGACGCTTTGACAGTACACACGGTATTTTGACAGGTTCTTCTGGGGGCTTAGTTCTTCTACTCTTGCACGTTACGCACTGCTGTGATTCGCTGAAATTACTTTTGCTTTTGAAGAAGCTGTTATGTCACCAGACTTCAAAAAAAAACCCAACTTGCTGTTAACTTGTGAGCGACCTGCTTGTAATCTTGCTCGCCCAGCAACGTGCTTTGCTCGCATTATTTTTAAAGCACAGCACACGGACCCCTCCCAAAGCTCTGTGCTGGCGTCGCTTAATTTTTTTTATGTGTTTTAAGATTTATTTTGAGCCTTCTCATAATGCGGGTGTGTTTGGCGTGTCTTCTGTTATAAATCTGTAAATCAGGTTCTTGAGGTATACTGTTCTCTGGGGGTCTGTTCACTCATATTTATCTAAAAAAAAAAAAGCCCACAAGAATTTTCATAAATGGCTCGAATACATTTTGATAATACAAGCCAATTTGATAACAGTATTTACATGTTACATGTTATTCTCCAAACCCAGGAGTTCTTTGTCAAATACCTGTTTCCAGTGCTGGATTAAGGTGTGGTTGCTTTGCAGTTCATGAGACTGTCTTCTCCTCGCTTGCTCCCTCAAACATGTACTTTAAAAAAGATTAGAGTGTCTCTTGTGAGAGAATTCATAGATCAGGGTATCATCTGTTTAGCAAACTACATACAGTTTATTTTTCCTGATGGCAGGCATGATGGGAAGAATAACAATAATTTATTCTTGTTGAGAGAGACTCATTATGTTGGTTATGTCTTTAAACAAATAAAGCCTCCCCATTTCTGTATTTCCTCACCCTACGGTTTTGTTTTGTTTTCCTGTTCGTAAAATTAAAGGCTTGCACAAGGGAAAGATTTGCAACTGCCCTAAGTATTGTAAAAACAAAAAAACCCAAAAAAAACCCCAAAAAACCCCCAAAACCCAAACCCCAAAACCCAAAGAAAACCCCCAAACCCTCTAGTGAGGCAAGAACACTTGGAGAACTTTGGATGTGCAGGGAATAAAATGTGATACAGTTTATACAGGTCTGGTTTAATTAGGACACCCAGGTAGGAAGGTAGTGTTTTGGGGGACGTGAATGCTGTAGCAAGAATGTCAGCATGGAATTTTTGTGACTGTAATGGAGAAATGCGTGGTGATATGTTATCGTCTTTGGTGGTTAAAAAAAAACGAATGGTCAAAACTAAATGGCAATGGCTTGAAAAAAGAAGTTTTACTGCGATGTCGTAAGGTTATTAGAAGTTTTCCCATAGAATGGAAGGGTTTTTTCAAGAATTCGTTTCCACAAGAATTTTAACTGAGAAATAATGCTTCTCGCTCACTTTTGCCGTGGGCTACGTGCCCCCCGTTTCTGATGGTACGTGTTTCATGGCTGTTTCAGGAAATGGTACAGTTGCTGTGCGGCTGGGTGTCGCTGAATAGCGTTTCTATGAGCCTGCCCTTCGATTTGCCTGCTGCTCAGAATGGCAAAGAACCCTAATTTTCAGGAAGTTGGTCATCTGCCTGCGGGCTGCGTCCACTGTAGATCTTCAGACAGCCTCACGGGTGAGTGGACCAACGTATTTTCTCGAGGTTTTAACTGCAGGCTGTAGTTGCACGCCTTTTTAACCAGGTTGTATTAAGTGCATTGATAACTATTTTGTGTTTGTGTTAGTAAACGGTCTGCACTTAGTGTATTGTGTGCTGTGCCTGGCTAAACTTATTCCTGCTCTTCTATTAAAGGAGTCTGTCCCTGAGCAGAACCTAAAACACCAGCGCTACAGCCCTTAAGTGCTGGGAATGTGTTTGTGTAACGGTGCGTAACTTCCCATCTGCTTTCAGCCAAAACGTTTTTGGTACTAAACTGTTGTTCAGCACGCTGTCATGGCATGGTGTGGGTATTTATTGTTAACCAAAGTCTGCTGCTCTTGTAATCCTTTCACAACAGAAGGGTTGGAGACGAGACTTAGAAGTTCTGTGAATTTCATTTACTTGATCTTTCCTGTTTGTACCTCATTGTTATGTTGTTGTTGTTGTTGTTGTTATTTTGGATACTAAGTATCAGAACTTGTGCCTATTTCCTTTTTTTCCCCCTTTCTGTTACAGTTGTCATGGTCAACTTTGTTACTGTTTTTTAGAGGTACAGAGGAACTTCTGTGGGAGGGTTCTGACGGAATCAAAGTGTTGACTTGGGTTATACTCTGTATATGTTGAAATGTTTCCGAAAAATTCCTGTTTCCTGAAATGTTGGCTTATTGTACCAGAACTTAAGAGAACAAAATATTTTTGTATAAAAAGACACGTGTCTATCCATTAAAAAAACAAACCATAAGATTTGAAATAGTGGTGTGTTCGTACAGTAACCTTGCTGTAACAGCTACCATGTTTTGTGAGTTTGTGGAAATAGTAATTGTAATTTAATCAAATTCCAGCAAAATACTTTAAGCATAGCAAAATATTTCATGAAGAAATCTTATTAATGAAAAAAATTTCAATACGACTCAAATCCTTTCCAATCAACTGGCAACCAGTTCCTATTTCTAGATAAAATAGCAATGTAAGAGAATTATATTTAAGAAAATTCCCTTTGAGTAATTCTGACAACATTTGTATTATTTTGCTAGATACAAACTGGAAGATTAAGTGTTTCAGGGTATGAAATTATTTGCTCAGTGTTTATAATCCAGACTCATTTAATGAAATTTATGATTCTAGCAATAGTCTGTTTACTTGCATTTATTTTTAAAGTTGCAAGAGGGTTATCAGTTATGTAAAGATTTTTCACTTTTTTTATAAAAAAAGTTTTCCAAAATTATTTGCAAACAGTTTCTTAAATTCCTTTTGTTGTGCCTGGTGTAAAAACAACCCTTCCGTGTTTCATTGAAACAGCACTGCCTTTCAGAGGCCTCTTCAGTGACAGCCGAAACGAGCGGGGAAGTGACTGAGGACTGGGCGTTGCTGCAGCTCTGGGTTGAGAGCTGTTTTGTAAGGATGTCACTGGGGTTGTGCTGTTGTCACTGCATTTTCTGGATCACGGTTTTGTATGCTCTAACATGTTGCAGGTTACTTCCTAAAAAGAAATATAGCAAGCTGAAAACTGGGGGGGGGGTTGTTGCTGGTTTTCTAGCCGTGACACACATTGTGTAATATTGCATGTTGCCTCCTGTGGTAAATACTAGGCTCCATTTTTCACACCCTGGCTGTTGAAGGTGGCGCCAAGAAGCGTGCCTTCCGGTGGGGTCTGAGCCAGAAGTGATCTGTAGGCCTTCTGGCTTGACCGATGAGTTTGGAGATTGAGTTTTAGTGGTGCCTCCAACTCACTGAGAAGACAGTTTTGTTTTGGTTTGCCGTGGCATGAAGAAAGCTGCTGCAGCTGACTCCTGAAGCAGTTATTTAGCTCTGAATACCTCCTGGAAACAGGTTGTGGTGCTGGTAAGAGGCTTGTAGGTGGCTCGGCCTTTTATTCTGGAGTTCATTAAGTGGTGTTCTTCGACTGCAGGAAGGAGTAAACACCGGGATTCCCTGGAAGGAGTGATGTTGTTTGATGACAGAGGGGATCTTGAGAAAGGGTTTTGCCAAGCTCCCAGCAGCATCTCTGTTTTTGAATCATAAATAATACTTTGAGTTGCGACTAGAAAAATACGTGTTGAGCTCTACAGGGAAGTTGTGAGCTCATAGCAACTTGCCACAACTAGAGCAGCACATTACTTTTTACTTCCTCAAACAGGAAATGTGCAGATCACTTCAAGGGCTGACTGAACACATACCATAAATGAATCCAGTCTGAGAAGATCTGAAGTCATGTATTATTTGGCTCTATATTTTGAAAGAGGGACTGCTCTCCCTGGGCTGCTTTATGTGGAAAATCCACAGTACAGGTGAAACTTGCATTGGAAATGTGTAGTAGTAAACAAATAAACGAGTTTGAGTTCTTCAGTAGACTAGTGTTACCCACGGAAAGCATACAAGGCATGTACATCATTCCGTAAAGTTGCCGGTTCCCAAGCTTCGTGTCATTCAAGCAGTTGAAAGACTCCTCAGCTGGGGGCTTGTGGCCACCGTCTGGGTCCTGTGTTCCCCATGATCAGCATGTTTTTGTTTGACAGTTCGAAACAAGCTTGTCCTGCAGCTTACACGCAGGGGTTTCTAAACTTCTGCTTTCATCGCTTGCTGGAGTTCGGGGTCTGGATGTTCATAGGGACTGGTGTCGTTGGCTTGTTAGCAAGTGTCCCCAGTTCAGACTTGGCCCTCTTCTATACACTGGTTCTTGTTTAGAGAGAGGTTTATGTACTCTTCAGACGGAAGTGTGCCTTTGGTTTGTTTTATTTATTTATTTAACCCGAAGTGGAAATAATTTTCCCTTGAACTTTTCACCCACTTGGCACATGACAACATCCGCAGCTACTGGAAGCAAAGTTCGTGAGCAGCTGATGGCATTCCCTTGACCGCTTTTACAGTCTCTCAGTTTTATGCAGACAGTTCCTGTTGTTATTTTTTAGAGATAAGAGTGGCTGAAGGAAGCAAAGAAGCAGAATGTAGAAAAAATGGCATTAAAAACAGATTTTAAGCCCAAAATGTGCCTGTACTTGTACCTGTATGGAGTATTGTAAATGAACTTACCTAATCCATCAACATTATAACTCGCAGAAGAGAGGTGGTACAGACTTGCTTGGTGACGTGCATCTAACTCGCACGTAGCTGGGTTGACTGACTGTTGTGAATGAAGCTCAACAACCGCAATTACAGACTTGGGAGGTACAGAAGTCTTGAAGGAGCATCGAGGCTGGAGATTTGCAGCTGAGTAACAAATACATCCTTTTGTGTGCTCCTCTGGTGTAACAAAAGGTTTTATATTTGTCTATAAACTCTCCAATAATTATGCTATGATAAATATTATTGCTAGCATAGATTCAACTTGACTCACCTCAGTCTAGTTCATCTTGCTTATTCCAGAGTAAATGTTACTGGACGTGTGTGTTGCGTAAATCTCTTCAGTGTGGAGTTGTCTGAGCTAATTGTAAGTTAACCAGTGCAAATGGAAGAAAAAGTCTGTTGTTATGAACAAAACATACGAATTAATTTGGTTTTGTGTCAGGGGAGAAGAATGTCTGTACAACACTCTGTGTCCCCGTGGTTCAGCTGCCTCCGGTATCTCGGCCAGTCTTGCTGGTTCCACGCTGTAATGGCTACGTGGGCACCCAGCTTCTAATTCCAGTAGCAGAGACAGCCTGAGGAAAGCTGGCGTTTTGTTCCCACTTGCGCTGTGATCTGGATGACCCGTTTAGTATGCTGTATTTTTCTCAAATCTCATTTTCTATTTCTGTCACTTTTTCTTTTTAGTTTAATGTTCTTTGGGACCGTGTTCCTACAGTATATTGATTTTGGGTTAAGCATTTCCAGACGTTATGGAAGTCCAAATAATACTTAACCCCATGTTAATGTGTTTTCTTTCCTTTGTAAGGGTAGAAATGACTGGAAACAGATGCATGTTTCCTTGTAATACTTTAAAAATATAGTTTAAAAATTCACTCATGTCGTGAATATTTCACTTGAAAGACTGACCTCTGAGCTGCGTGCGGGGTACGGCCTCATCATCCTGCTGCTTGTGATACGCTGTCTGTCTTCAGCCCTAAGCGGGTGCCCATTTTGAAAAATGGCTGGTCATTGGAGCACAGAAGGGGTCTCTGAAAATATGGAGGCTTATTATCTGAAACAGCCAACCTCTCTTCATTTAAAAGTTAAACCATAAAAATAGCAGCTGACTTAAGACCTAAGCTCTCTCGTGGATGCTCTTTTGCTACTGAGACTGCAGAAAGCCGCTGTTGCTGAACTAAACCCAAACCAACAGAACTAAAACCTCTCGTGAATTAAGAAGTAATGAAACAATTCCACAGAAGACAAGACTAGCGCATTAATCTGTATTGTACATTAGTGGGCAGTCTGTTAGGGGGTTTATTTTCCTGCATATATGAGGGAACAAGGAGGCGTGAAGCCAACTGAGTGGAAAGGGTAAGGAAATTGAATTGTGTGTTGTGAAGCTTTGCTCTTTGATGGACTTTGGCTGTTGTTTTTTAAAAGCTATCCCGATTGTTTATGTTCTCCCAGTTCTAGAAAGCTGCAGAAACACTGACCTTTTTACTCATCACTGATTTTGGTAGAGACTTGGGAGTTAAGACTATTTATTTCTTTATAATTTATGTGCGTTAGAATTCAGATAAAAATGCTTTCTAATGGTAAGTGTAATTAAAATTGTTTCATTTTTAGTTCCTTTTGTTGGAAGCTTTTTATTTTAAGTAAATGGATTGACAGAACAACAAGGTGACGAAATTCTCTGAAATATTTTCTGTCGGGTAGGATTGTTGATGCAAGCTGCGTCAGAGCTCGGTTGTAAATGAACTTCAACAGAAACCCTCTTGGTTTCGTTTTTCTTGTAATAGATGGTAACTCACACTAGCTGCTTTCTTCGTAATCACAGCCTGATCTTTGCCTTTTTTTAATACTTGTGCCCTTTATAATATTGGTTGTTTCCTTTTCCCCTTTAGGCTACCAGTATCAGCATCCCTCCAAGATGAGTAACAGCCATCCGCTCCGTCCGTACACGGCTGTGGGGGAGATTGACCACGTTCACATTCTGTCAGAGCACATTGGTGCTCTAATGAACGGGGAAGAATACAGTGACGTTACCTTTATTGTGGAAAAGAAACGCTTCCCGGCACACCGAGTGATCCTGGCTGCGAGGTGCCATTATTTCAGGTGAAGTATAGCTTTGTGTCAGGCTCACAGGAAATTTTCATGCAGATGAGATAAACATTGTTTCTCCATGAACTTTTCAGGGTGTAATCATCTGTCCATTGAGTGTGACCTTTTCTGTGTGAATGTTTCCCAGCACATCAAATCATTGTGTCCAAATATAAAAAGATAAATACCATGTCATGATGTTATTCTTTTGACCTTCATTAAATTGGATTTTGAAGGTAGTTTCACAAATTCAAGAGAAAGATAACTTCAGAACAGAGAAGTTCTGCTGTAAAATTGTTTTGATTTCTCAGAGTATGGATGGTGTGCTTCTATGGAATATGCTTGATTAGAGGGTTTAATTTTGATGTGTTGGAATTGAGTATTTAAAGAGGTCTGGCTGATACAGGTTAGGATATATATATTTTAAAGCTAGGAATAGTACTAATCCATCTTTTTGAAGAGCTGGGCATTTTTCACTTTAAACGTAATTAATAGAGCTTCCTGATAGTCTTCTTCCAGTTAATCTTGTCAGAGGGATAACCTAATAACTAAACTAAAACGTGAATGCAAATTGTCTTCAAACTATCATATTTTAAAAAAATTACTTGTGAGTACTTTGATTTTTCTCAGTATTCGAGATTCCATCGGAGTTGCCATGTGCTGGGTTTAGATTAAGGAACAGAGGATCCAAAATCCTGAGATTTGCGAATTTGCCATTGTTATAGTGGCCAACTATTTGTTTCACTTGCTTTCTGAGAATTTTTCATGTTTTTTTCTTTCTCGCTGATAGCACTGTATTTAAAAAAATAAAAATAAAAATGGCCAAGCATCTCAATTCCTGCTTCGCAAGCTATTGTTCAAAGTGGAGATGGAACAGTTGTGGTGTAGGATAAAAACATGATGCATTGGAATATTATTCTTTTGCAGCTGCTTTCAGAGCAGAGCTGCGCTTGCCAAGTGTAAGGGTTTTGCTTTTGTAATCAAACCATATCCCCTTTGTATTCCCCTTGCTGTAAATAGTCATTTATTCCTTTCTCTTTTTGCCTGGTTTTTATCAGATCTAAATTTCTCAAAATTTTATCTTCCTTATAGAGCATTATTATATGGTGGAATGAGAGAATCTCAGCCTGAAGCAGAAATTCCTCTTCAGGACACCACTGCAGAAGCATTTACCATGCTGTTGAAATACATCTACACTGGTCGTGCTACACTACGAGATGAGAAAGAGGAGGTTCTCCTGGACTTCCTGAGCCTAGCCCATAAATATGGATTCCCAGAACTGGAGGATTCCACGTCTGAGTATCTTTGCACGATACTGAATATTCAGAATGTCTGTATGACATTTGATGTTGCCAGTCTCTATTCCCTTCCCAAACTGACTTGTATGTGCTGTATGTTCATGGATAGAAACGCCCAGGAGGTGCTCTCCAGCGAAGGCTTTCTGTCGCTTTCTAAGGTATTTAGCTTTTGTTTGCTCTTTGTCCCCCAGGAATGTTAATTTTAATCTGTAAACAACTTCGTGGTAAAATACTAGCGGCACCAGATACAAGTTTATGTGTTAGTTAACAGGTATAATATTACACTAGTGAAACTGTGACGGTTGGAGATGTTCAAGCCAAGCTGAACTGAAAATCCTGGTGATCTGTTCTGAATTTTTTTTAGGTATTTAATTTTAACCGGTCAGTACAGCTAAATGTAGTAAATCTGGAGTATTCTAAAAAGCGGGAGCAGGCAATCTAATCTTAATTTGTCTTTTTTAATCTGTTCTTAAAAGAATATGATTTGGTTTCTGAATGCTGCCCAAGGGATATAAAGTAAAGATTTGAAGACAGCAGAAGATACTCCCTTCTATTAATGTCTTGGTATAGGCTGCCTCAGTGGTAGGGGATTTTGTACTCTGTAAGCGAAGGCGTTCTGGAGGTTGCTGTGAGTTATATTGCTGATTGTCATCGTGTTCTGAAATTGCGTAATATAGTGGTGGTGTAGGGTGGTTTGGGGTTTTTTGTGTCGGTTGTGTTGTTGTTGTTAGCTGCAAATATTTGTGCCCAAGTCAGGCTGTTCTGTGACATCGGAATGTGAATGTTGCACTTACTCTGGAGTGGGTTTTGAGCCGGACGCCACAGTGACAGAGTGCTTCCAAGTGGTGTTCGCGTGAAGCAGCCGGGTGTCTTGAATGATGGTTTCAGTTTAGTTTTTTTAAAAGGGTTTTTAGTGGAAAAGGTGTGATGGGTATATTCCTTGAACAAGTACAATACACTCTGCTCTGCTGACTGACTTACTAGTTCTGCAGGAAAAAATTGTTTTTTTCTGCCTACTGTGCTCTTTGTCGTGCGCGGTTTGTTGAATCTGAGCTCTGAGAGCACATCATCAGTAAAGAAATCAGCACAATTCCTCAGGAAGCTCATGCTTTATGGTATCTTTGGCATAGCCAGTCCTGGTACATATGAGAGCTTTATCCTTTTCTTAGGCAAACTCCTAATTATTCTGCTAGCTCAGTAAAAATCAAGAAGATTCTTTTTGTTCTCATTTTGCAGTCAGTGGGTTTTCTGCATGAATAAGAGCTGCTGAAGTTTTTACCTACTGATGCTAAGTTGGTACTGAAAGAGAGAGAGAAAGGGGGGGAAATCCCAAGTGGTTGGAAATGGTTTAAAAAGGTGACTCCAAGCCGCGCTATGTTTCTCATTGGTGTTCTTACACCAGCCTGAGTTTAAAGGAATGGTTTGGATTATACTACCAAATCCCTAAATCACCTCTTATATTCCAAAGTAAATTTGAAGTAGTAACTGGAATTTAAATTGATTTGAATAGTTCTTCACACTTCACTTCTGACTTACTTCTCCCAGTGGGTTTGTAATATTAACTATTATTTACACAGTGGGTTCTGTAATTCTTGCATAAGTAAGACCTGCGCTTTCAGGTAGTCGCTCCTTTGGAGATTATATTTAATAACTACAAGATAAAATACCCATTAAACTTTGCCTTATTTTAATTTCCTTTTTTTTCTTTAAAAAAAAAAAAATTCGTTTATTTGAATGGTTTTTTTGTGTTGGTTTTTTTTTTTTCTTTTCCAGGCTGCTCTTCTAAGCATTGTACTGAGGGACTCATTTGCAGCTCCCGAGAAGGACATTTTCCAGGCTTTGATGAATTGGTGTAAACATAACCCCAAGGAAAACCATGCTGAAATCATGCAAGCAGTACGTTTGCCACTAATGAGTCTAACAGAACTGCTGAATGTTGTAAGACCTTCCGGATTGTTGTCACCGGATGCCATCCTAGATGCCATTAAGATTCGTTCTGAGAGCCGGGACATGGACCTCAACTACAGGGGCATGTTAAGTAAGCGTCAGGTTTTTTGTTTATTTGGGTTTTTTTTTTCCTCATTTAGTGACTACAGTTGTCTGGAGGGTGTGGTTAATTTTGTACTTTGAGTTTTTCTCTGTTATGTGTTTTAAAAGGCTTAGATAATGACATATCTTGTTAGGTACTGTTGCCATTTCTATTCCTGAAATAATTTTAGTCAACGTATTTTCTTGCTTTGTATCTCAGATATTGCTCAAGCATGAATGTTGCAATAAAAGTGTATTTCCTACAGAAGTGCTATTTTAGTAGAAACATTTTGCAAAAACATTAAAAATGAAAATGTGGTGGCAGTGGGATATATGATATTTAAATGGTTTTATGTTGACGGTGACTTGTTTTCTACTTCATGAAGGTTTTCATCTTTTCTCCATGACTTTTGATTTTTCTCTTCCATTTTACATGCTTGCCCAAATAGTGTAAGCAAATCTTCCAAATTTGTGTTAATGCAAGTCTAAAAAGTGCAAGAAGCCCTGTGACTTCTGACTGTGCTCTCTGTTAATTCAACAAGAATATCTAACGCTGAGCTTTAGAAAGATACTGTTTGCCGTCTAATGTGTGATTTAGAAAGAACATTTGCCCCACAGCAAAGAATAAAGTTAAATGTTCTTTGAGAGCCTGTACTGTGGTCTGTCAGTCATGCGTGATGAGCCCTGTAAATAACTGCTTTCTCGGAACTGCATCTCCCCTTTGTTCTCTCTTAGAAGTTACAGATATTAATATTTAAACATGAGTTTAATATTAGGCTATTGCAAAAGTCTTGTCATGCAAGGCGTTCTGTTGACAGCGCAGTAGATAAATTTGAAACGTTTAAATGGTGTTTTCCAACTTCCTCTTCTGCATGTTTATGTCTTGATATGTTCCTCAAAATTTCTAGCTTTGTCAAAATTGCAGCTTTTTTGAGAATTGAATCTGTGTGTTGCTTTAGTACTAGTTCTGGCTCTTGGGACTTTTTTATTTGTGGAAATATTGAGGACCACTTGTTGTTTCATAGTTGTGCATTTGGTGTTTTTATGTATCAGTGCTACAATACAGTTAAAATTTTACCACTTCAAATTCTGTTCTTTAGATGTTAAACTTAACATCCTGTTAAAATTCATACTTCTGTTGCCAGCCTGCCTGTAGAGTTCAGGGGCAGCTTTTCATTATTTAGCTTTCAGATCATGTTTTCTAGGGTCTTTGCTCAAATAAGACTGTTAAAAATGACTTTTTAACAGCATGGTTCATTACTGTATTGCTTTGCAGTTGGAGTTAGGGTTCATTATCCCCAGCTATCTTGATGGAAGTTCTGTTCCTAGGATGTAACAGGTTTATCACTGTGGAATGATGGCATAAAAAACTTGCTTTATTGTGTTGATTCAAAGCCAAAGTAGCCAAAGGTTTCCCGTTTCACTCAGGTTCGTGTAGCTTTGCAGAGTACTGGAAGCTTGTATAGCTATCAAAATAGCTTGTATAGCTATACCACTGCATATACCACTCTGCAAATTCGTGATGCATCCACATCTTGAATGTTTTATGTGATTTTTAGTTTCCTTCCACATTAAAAAACAAAACAAACCAAAAACCAAACCGAAAAAACCTCCAAACAAAACCCCCATTGAAATTAGAGCAAAAACATTGGAAAGAAAGGGCAAAAAAATATAGAGGTATGGTGAGAGGTTGATCACAAGGAGAGACTAAATAGACCAAAATGTTAACACCAAGAGGAAAGTGATGATTCAATGAGGAAGGTGCAGTAGAATTCTGTAAAATCATGCAGGGGACTGCAAATATAAATAATATGTACTAGTAAATTATCACTAAGTATTACTATAGAAGACCTAGAGGGCATCAAATGAAGTGGAAGAAGCAGAATTTCTACAATGCCCCTCTTGTATTTTTTTTTTTCTTTTCGCTTGAGCGCGTGTCTGTGGCCAAGAAAGGATACTGGCCACAAATCTCTGTTGAGACCTCATACTGTTGGTGTTCAGAATGTCTAATTTGCAGTGTGAGAGTGTAAAAAAAACTGAATAAGCCATTATTTCCTTTTCTTAGTACCGGGGGAAAATATTGCAACCATGAAGTATGGAGCGCAGGTGGTAAAAGGGGAGCTGAAGTCCGCTCTGTTGGATGGGGATACTCAGAACTACGACTTGGATCACGGCTTCTCTCGACACCCCATCGATGACGACTGCCGGTCTGGCATCGAAATCAAACTGGGCCAGCCGTCGATCATCAACCACATCCGGATACTGCTGTGGGACAGGGACAGTCGGTAGGTGCCGAGTTGACCGGAAAAGGGAAGGTGATGCGTTTTGTACTGGTGATAGTGTATCGATGTGCAATAGTCATTAAATGTGTCCTGTAAAAGCGCGACAGCAGGGTTGGAGCTGACAATGACAAGTTCCGTTTGAAAATGCCTTGGGTTTTAAATGCAATTTTGGTTACTTACAAACCAGATTGTATCTTGTGGTGCTGAACTACCTCATCATATTTCAGTGTGGTTTTTATGTCTTCATTAAACAGTTTGTTACTAATGAAAGTTTATGTAATTTAAATTGTTTTCCATTTGCCACTTAGTTTTCAACTGCTTTTATTTTAGTTTGAAAAACAGTATTCCAGTTCTTTCGCGGAAACCGTATTTTTTTTTTACATATTTACATTCTAAACACTGAAGGAATGTTTGTTCAGATTTTCTCTATCTCAAAATTGTTAATAAATTATGCACTTTGACAATAATTCAGAGGTAGTAAAATTTATTTAGGATGTGAATTACTGGCTAACTGCAGTAGTTATTAGAAGCCACTTCATGGTGAGGCTGGTGAAGTACGAGCTATCACGGATGCCTTAGCCAATATGTACTCAGCTACTTTAGATTATTGTGGAATGCATGAAAGGTCAAAGTATGCATGTTTGAACAACTGAGTGACTGCTTAAGTAGGAGAACTGCAAGGTTCTTTTTATCTGACAAATTGAATATATTAATTTTATAACTTGCCGTGACAAAGATTTTAGGATTTAGTAGACAGCTCATGCAGGTATTTATAAGCAAATCTCTATTGAAAGCAAGAAAACAAGATACTTATGCTTTTAACACACTATTACCTTTCTGATAAAGGACTGATTTTATATTACTTCCAGACTAACAGTTTAGAATTGCAAAATAGTTGCATTTTTTTTTTCTTAACTAAGCAGTATTATTTTAGAACAGGGTGTGCTAATGTTTTATTTATTTTTACTGTTTATAAATGAAATTATTTTTAAAATATGAATTACACTTATCAATCAAAATAAACTGCATGAATTTTTAGCTATTTAATTGTGTCAAGTAAGTTCTGATTAAGTTCAACTGAAATTTGTGCTGCTCTATTCTTTTTGGAAAGACTGAAAAGTAAAACTTTGAAGGCACAAGGAGCTACTTCATGCGACATTATGCTACTTGTCCCAGAAGATCAACCCAATTTATAAATCAATTGCCAACCAATTTTCTAAAATTTGAAAAACTGTTAGACATACATTAATAATGAGGAGTTCTCTAGCAGTTTTTAGAGAGCTTGTCATTCGTAAAACACCCCTCGTCTGCAAGGCGTAAGTCGGCAGCTGCTGAAGCTCGGGAGGAAAACCCCGCTCCTTGGGACAACTTACTAAAAAATTACGTGTTGCTTGGTGTCCTGTGCCCTTCCTCTGAAACTTGTAGAGGAACCGTTGTTGATGGCAGAATATCAGACAAGGTGGACTTCTGCTCTAGAGATTTTTTTTGTCTCCATAAAATACAGGTGCAGTGGTTTAGGATCTAATTTCTGTGTGGTTCTGAATTTTCTGGTTTTCTGTGGGAAGTTTGCTATTGGACTTTCTTTTGCCTATCAGGTAGAGCACCTGAATTGACAGGGTTTTCTCCCCCACTGTAGCTCGGTTGTCCAAGATAAATGGAAAAGGAAGCGTTTGGAATACTGTGTCCAGTTGTGGGCTCCTCAATATAAGATGCTGATATCCTGCAGCGTGTCTTGCTGACAGCAGGACACCGAGATGAGGGCTTGAGCACACGATATACAAGGAGATGCTGAGGGAACTTGCTGTTTTACGAGGAGAAGACTTTGAAGGGGGAACTTATTGTTGGTTTTGCCTATTTAAAGGAAGAATATAGAGAATACAGGGCCAGACTCCTCTTACAGCTGTTTGCTGAGAGGGCAAAGGGCAGTGGACCCAAGCGACAAGTTAAATTCCTATTAAATGTTAAGAAAAGAATTGATCACGGGGTAGTGTAACATGGGAAGAGTGTGCCCAGAGAGCTTATGAGTATGTCAGCCCTTAGAGGTATGCGGAACTTTACCAGCCAAGGCCTTAAGGAACTTGCTCTAAGATTGTCCTTGCTTTTTTTAAAGATCCTTTCCAACCTATATACTCTCTTAGTCTAAGAATTACCAGCCACTTAGCTGCATTTTTCTCACGAGACACCTGAATATTGTCTTCAAATGAGATGTTTTAGCAACTGTACAAGTTTTGGTGGCTAGTGGAACATGTTTTTAAACTACTTATTCATTTTAACTGTCTCTGTGAAGCTCTGGTCTGTTGGAGATCTTTATATGGATGATGTACATTCTTAAACAAATACAAGCTAACGGGTGGGTTTTGCACCTCTAGTTTAGAGGTGTTATTAACAGGTGACTCTGGGGTATAAAAGTGCTAAGGAGACTAGCTGTCCAAATTACATCTGCAAAAAAGATGCTATCCTTAAGAAAAATACAAGGCATGGTGTTGTGTATGACAATGGAAATGTGGTTTTCAGGTCACTTTTCTTTGTTTGGTACCTTCAGAAACAAAAAAAAAACCCAGTATGTTACAAATTTACATTAGTCTAGTGATGGTGATGTGACAACCGCTGACTTCTCAGCACACAGACAGTAACTTTTGGATCAAAACTGCTGAAACTTTAAAATGCTGGAGCCTAGTTCAGTCAAATATGCATAGGCTAGTAATAACAAATAACACAGTGTATTTGTACGGGTTGTGAATATTGCACAACTGACTGGCCTGAATGTGAAAGCTGATTATGCAATTGAAATCTTAAAGACTCTGCATTACCTTTGTAGGTGCATAAATTGGCGTTAACAGTGTCATCTATCAGCTTAAGAATTTTAACAATGCCACTTTAGACATCTACCCCTCTAAGTCCTCAGCAAAAAATTGGAAATACTGACAAAGGCATTGATGTTTAACGAAAAATGTCCACGTAGAACTGCGGATGACCAGTTCTTCTTTTAAAAGTCAGTGTGAAAGGAGGATAAGTACCAACATGGTGCTGTTGAAATGCCTGTGAATGTGGCAGAGTGGTAGATAAAGAGAAAGAAAATATTCTGAAACATGTATTTCATGATTTGCTGATGCACAAGTGGAGTTAAGTATGACCGTTGTAGGTATAATACGGAAATAGCTGCGGCTTTTAAGTTTCAGGTTGGGTTTTCATTCTCCTGACAGCAAACTATAAGCTAAACAGAATCGATAAGCAAGAGGAAGGCATAGGTCCTGTTGGTGACTTTTTTCACAGTTTATTTTTGATGAGGTGGTTTTGAGGTGTGTAAGTAGCGACGGGCTTAACAGTGTCTCATCAACAACTGGAAGGGTCAGAAGCGAAGAACATCAGTGAGAAAATGATGATAAAGTAAATTTGCTGTTTTCAAGTGAAGGGTTTGAATTTGCATTTTTGATCTGCTAAATGTTTTTTGATTTTTCTTTATTGATATGGCAATAGAAATAACAACTGTATCACCGGTGTGTTAGATTTGTTCCTGCAGAAGGAATACAAATGGTTATTTTTATTACTGAGTTGAAAGTCTCCATAGCTGAGACAATGATCTCCGCTAATTCTTGCAGGTTGCCAGCGTTAGGATGTTTTAAGTCGTTCTGAAAATACATCTAAACATAACTGCATGTGAATTTATTTTCAAAGCTAGTTTGAAAATAGGAATCTCTTTTAGGTGTCTTAGGTACAGGTCTGTGGGTAGGGACAAAGAGCCTTCTTTCCAGCCCAACTGAAAACCCAGAAGAAAGTCTAAAATTTAATGCCTAAAACGTGAATACTTGTATTCTAACCAGTATTTTTTGACAATCCATAGGTCTTATTCCTACTACATTGAGGTGTCCATGGATGAGTTAGACTGGATTCGGGTTATCGATCACTCTAAGTACCTCTGTCGGTCCTGGCAGAACCTCTATTTTCCTGCCCGTGTCTGCAGGTGAGTTCATCAATGTGATGGTGCATGGCTATCGTTAAATAGTGTGGACACCAGGATAAGTCTGGATTTTGTGACTGCGTTATGTGTTTCTGATAATGTATGGTGCATACAACGTTCATCAGCTATCTTAAAAAAAAAAGTCTATCTTGGATGCTTTTTTACTATAAATATAGGTGATAAATTGCAGGCATCCTGTTTTGAAAACGTGGGTACTTCTGTCTCTAAGTATGTATCTCTTTCTCCTTCCTTTCTTTTTTTCCTTTTTTTTTGAGTGATACTCCCTTTTCCTCTTGCAGCTGATGTCTTTGTTTTTCACCCAGTAGCAAACTTCATTCCTTGACTGCCAAAATGTTTAAAATATGTTTACAAACTTGTTATAGAACTTTGAAATTTGTTTTTATGTATTTCATATATTTTCTGCTGTTGCATTGAAGGAGTGTTTTAAACAGCTGAGAAGAGTGAAAGGGGAGAGTTAGGGCTAAGGAGGTTTGGGCAGTGCTTTGTGTCAACCAAAGCAGCTGGGTGGTTTTAGTCATTATTGAGATGATGATGTCTTTTTACTGTAGGTGCTGGGAATTTGGGAAAAAGCTTATCATCACATTGAAGCTGACTTATCCAAAAACTGAATGGAGCTCATTGGCAGAGAGGCCATGACCTGTAGATTCCAGAGATGTTGCCATCATTAGGTTTTGAGTCCCCCTAGACCCAGAGAGGAAATGCCCTGTATTGTAATAATTGTTCTGTAGACACAAACTTCGCTCAGCACAGCAATTCTCGGAATCCCCAAGGAGTGGAAGTGCTTTCTTTTCCCCAAAGAATGACTTTTTCTCTGATATTTACTGCTCTGCAACATGGGATTGCTGGCAAGCACTTGTAGTCTATGGGGAAGGAGTCTTTTGGGTCACTTGTATGTCTCTCTCTCTCTCAGCCTCCTTGTTCTTTAGTAAATTCATACTGAACGTAGCCTGAACAATTTTTCCTGAGTCAAACAAATACATTCTCACCTTTTCCCTGCAAGTTTTATGGTTCTGATGTTACTGTTTTCTCTGTCTGAAATGGTTAGTGCCATCCCTTTGTGTGTGTGTGTGTCTCTGGCAGATTTGTGATAAATTGTCTAGCAATGATGAAATGCCTCGTGGAATTTGTGGGTGTTTTATGTTTCCTGGGGACGTGTTTTTGTGTGTGTGTGTGAGACCTTTCCTTGGTGCAAACTGGACGGATTGCTAGTGAGCACGGCTGCTTTGCTTCCGTCCTGTTACCAGGAATATTTGAAGCAGTCTAGGGTGTTAGAGTGGGACTTCCCTTAATCTTCTTTCAAAAGGGCGGCCGTTCTTTGGCCTCGTCCAAAGGCTTGTCCCAAAGTGATTTTCCTCTTTCAGCATCAGTTTATCTGTTTGTCATCCACCCCACTCAGCTGTCTTCATCTGTGTGTGTGCTGTGTTATGAGAGCATCGTGGTTCTGTTTGGGTGAAGGCTCTTTGTAGCCTTCCCTGCAAGTGCAGAGATGGAATTGTGGAGGGAAGAATGTTATTCCAGAGTTTTAAGTGGTACCTTACTCATTTTTTGGCACAAAAGGACTTCTGATACATTCTAGCTCTCCAATGATGTCTTAATCCTCTGTAAGCGACTTGCCCTCTATTGGAGGAACAGATTATCAGGAGGGAGTTAATCTCATGCAGTGTTTTTGTATTCATAGCTATATTTTTTCTACTTAAATGCATGCACAAGCACACCTGGAAACTTCCCCGTTGCAGTTTTATGTTAGCAGATAGTTGAAGTGTAGAGTTGTCAGGTAACTACAGCACAGATATCCTTGTCACATAGTCTTCATGCCTCTAATTTTTCCTGTTGTGCTTCATGATCCCCAGTAAACCCATGATTTTTGATAAATCTCTGTTCTTCATTATCATATTTAAAGAGTGGTGGGGAATTCCGTGGAGGTGCAGCTACTTTGAAGAGTGAGTGAAAGAGCTAAAGGGAAAGTCATGTAGCAGTGTGAGTGTTATTGTTAAGGAGCAGTAACCTTAAGGCGATGAGCTCTCAGTTGTGAGCCAACATGATAATTCAGGGTGGTTTAGATAAGGGTGTGCTGTAATTTCCCTTTGCATCTGTGAATTGAAGCCTACCTTATAGTCAGAGTGCAATTTGTTAGTCAAAAGTAAAAGTACTGTGGCTATAATCTGCTGTTCTTTTTATGTATTTTTTTTCCTGTAGATAAGAGGAAAAGGCTACTTTAAATTTAATTAGAGACCTAAAATTGCTGACAAATTTTTGAGGAGTTTCACATTAAGAACTTTATTCATATTCATATAAATAGTTAATTCTAACTTGAAGGTTGGCTCCACTTTGATTAGAGGTTTGGACCAGATAACCTCTGAGAGGCTTTGAGGGGAGGGGAGGCTGTGTACACATACATAGTAGTATTTGAGACTTGTATTTATCAGGCTTTTAATTAATATTCTGTTTAGAATGAAGTGATCAAGGAGTACTTTTTTTTTCTGTCTCTAATTTCAGGGGTTTGTGATTATGTATTTAAAGTAGTAGTTTACTTAAATGAGTTAAACTAGTTACCTCTAGGATACTAACATACACAAAACAGAAACCCTAAACTATGTAGCAGTTTTGTCATCTAAAAAAGAGATAATTTCCAGTGTTGTCAGCAGAGATTTAAAATATAAACCAATATGAATTATGTCAGAATGTATTCTTTTAATATTTGATGTTCTGTTTTTACAGATCAGTTATGCATGCTTATCAAAGGGCAGGTATGTTTTAAGTGTTTTATATGCTCTGTCTAGAAAGAAATTGTCAGATTATGAACAGATCATGAAAAAAAGGGATTTGTTTCATTTGGGGATGTAAACACCTGCCCTGTTTTTAGAGGAAGACTGTATTGTAACTCAGCAAATCACTCACACTTACTGGCACTGGGTTAATCAATAGATTCTTTAGATCCAAAACTGGCCGTGTTTTCATACTGCTCAGCACTGCTTCTGTTGTGGATTCTTGAGTCAGTGTGACAAGTCCCAGTGCCAAAATTTTCCCGTTCGTGGGCAACGGTACAGAGGAGTGCACTGCAAGCATCAGCGTTGCTGTCTTCCTGCCATTAGATTTAACATTTGTTCCCTTCTTGTCTTAGTAATGCAGATGATGATCTCTCTGCAAGCAACCACTTAGGGAACCATGCAGCATTTTTTTTTTTTTTTTTAAAGCTTTGTATGCATTTTCAGCAGCAGGTGATGGGCTGAGTATTTCTCATAGTGCAGTTTCTTACCAGTATAGGTTTGAGATAGGTGGTGTTTGGGGTTTTTTTTATTTAAAAATTTATTTTAGCTCAAAGTGCTTTATGGCATCGCTGCATAGGATGACATTTTGAGGAGCAACAAAGGATTGGAGACTAGGGCTGTCGGCTTTACTATTTCTTTGCACGCCTGTTTTCAAAGCGAGGGAGTAGAACATGCCAAATTCTGTACACCTTGGTGAAGGACAGCCTGTTTGTGTCTGATGCGGTAGAGCAGTTGTTCTTCCATCATAAAGAGACTATGAGCACCGTAACATCAGGCAAGGTTAGTTGCCTTTTTGAGTTGCCTTCTACATAAATATTAGTTATGCAAGGTGAGAGCTGTCAAGGGCTTAACTAACATGTTCACCTGAGTTTTAAGAAGCTGTTCAAACGTGGGCATAAAAATTGTTGGACTGTGTCTTCTATTTGCATGCACGCAAGCTGGTGTTTCGTTTAGTTTTTGAAAATCTTTCGCTTTTCTCTTAAGTGAATCTACTATTTTCAAATCTACAATCGATGCCTCTTTCACACCAGCTGGATGAAAAAAATGCAATCTTCTGGCAGTTAGTTGTTAAATAATTCACTGTGGTGCAAATTACTTATTTTAATACCGGTTCCATCTCCTTAACAAGTCATTTATTGTGCTATGTGTGTCATAGTCTCTATCAGGACTTTGATATTTATTATTTTTTTAATACATGGAGCATTGTGGAATATTGGCAGTAGTGTTAGAGTTAAGGGCATTATTGTGCTTCCTCTGAAAGATAATTTGTACTTGGCAAAGCATGGTCCAAGCCATCCACCATGATTAGACAGAATCAAGTAAGTAACATAAGATTATTTACACTTTTCTTCCTGTTGCTCACTTGTATGCTCGAGTCTGTGATTTAATGGGTTCAGAATAAGTTTTGCCAGCCATAACCTTTGTCTAGGTTAATAGATTAAAAGTGGAAGGGCAGTGACCAAAACCTCTGAAATTCTATAATGAAAAGGAGATGAGAAGATTTTTTTATGCTTTCTCACAGACAGAAGATGATGTATTTGTGATTTGTAGAATGTAATCCCTGATTTAGATATACAAGCTAATTTGTACAAGGAAGATTATTTTTTAGGCATCAGAGCTTAGTATAACTGGTGAGAGGGTGTTGCTGTATTTTGAGGGGTTTTTTAGTTGAGAAAATGCTGGGTATAATACCTATTGACATAGTTGCCTTTTAGACTTTTAGTATTTGCTGTAAATGCTTTTAGAGCACGTTATTCCACCACCTTTAAAAAGTGAACAGCCATATAGTATGAATAAAAAGCAAAGAAGAGGATGAGATTACAGGGTAACTTTTTCTTTTTTAATATGGTGCTGTGTTTTTTCTAGAATTTCTTTTGATCCTGATTTCATTGTTTGCACTTAGAGCTATTTTCATGTAGAGCTGAAGGCTGTCCTTAGAGGGAAATGGGAGACAGAAAATAGTCATATAAGCAGGTTCCTGTCAAAGCTAGGAACAAGTGTCAGGTTCCCAGTTAGCCCAGCTTCCTCTTTTAGTAGTTAGGCAATGTAGAAGAGGATGTTTCTGTGTTTGTTTTCTTTGTGTGGTTTGTTACTGATTTTTTTGAAGTTAATATTTTTCTTTCCTAGTTCTGAGTATTTTTAATATGCAGCTGTTAATTAAGCCAACTGTTTACCCTGTCATGAACCTGAAAAAATGAATGCTGTCTTCCTGATTATG